CTAAAAATATTAAATTACATATGTTTGAAAGTAATATTTTAGCGTATATACTTTTAATTTTATATTTAAAATATTTGTATCAATGTAAAATATACTAAATATATTATAGACTTATAACTTAGATATAAAAGTATATAAATACAAAGTATTGTTTCTAATATTTTACGTGTGAATTCTTTTGAAATTGTAGTTTCTTACAACTATCGTTATGAACATATTGCATGCATTAGATAATAACTTATTAACATTTTACTTGAAAACAAGAACATGTGTGTAATAATGATTAACAGCCTGCAAACATAGCATAAATTATTATGTAGAACTTAGTTCAAAGTAGAGGAGTAATACTGAAAATAAGGTAACGTTTACTTTTTCCAGAATTATAGAAATTGCTGGTGGGCGAGAAGTTTTTTCCCAAAGTAGAGGTAAAGTAGCAGCTAGAAAATCACGCTTTCTTGCTGCATCAAATTCCTTAAATAACGAAGATACTCAAACAGATAACAAGTTATCAGTTAAAAGAAATAATAAATCTCCAAATACACAGACTGTGTGGGAATTAAGGAGCCGGTAATTTGAACATGTTTAATAATAGATATGAAGTTTCATACAATATATTAATAAATTTATAAAATAAACTATTTCTACATTCATTTTATTAAAAAAATTGATGCATTAACACGTTTTCTAGATGTGGTGACACAAGAAAGCAACGCTCTAATAGAGAAGTAACGGAAACTGTATTTTCTTCAGAAATACATTCTGTGCGACATAATCCAACAAAATCTATTCTTGATTATGATTCTCCTAAAAGCAATCACACCAATCGTATTATTAATTATGACTCAATTTTGAATAGCAATAATGTAGAATATGGTGTACCAAAAAATATTACGCATCTTGATTATGGATCAAAAGGCTGCATAGATTACCAGTCAAATCACACAACACCAGCAAGAAGCATGGCTATTGTTAGTGACGGTGAAGTAGTCGTTTTTGACGACATTGATGATAATTGGCAAAATTTACGACTAGATTTATCTTCTAATAATTCAAATCAAGTTACGTCTAATACTAATATAAATCATGAGTCCGAAGAGTCTCAAAGAGGTCGTATTCCTCCAGAACCTTTGAGTTCTAGTATTGGAAGTACTCCAAGCCCGACAACGGCATATCATCGTAACACTTCAGAATTCTTCAAGGTACATTTTACTTTTAATGTGTTTCTCAATTTGCTGCATTATCTAACATTTAATATCCTAATTAAAAAATGTTAAGTTAAACACGCTTTGAAATAAATGTATATATTGAATAATCTGACTTTACAGGTAATTACACCGGCTAGTGATTGCGAGGTTGATTCACCATCCTCAGAACGTAATCACAAAGTAGCAAGAGTAATTGGTGAATTACCGATAGCACAATATTCAGAAAGTCCAAGACGTTATGGAGTACGTGATACTCAACTTCCTTGTCTTTTATCATCACCTTCTGTATACATGACACCAAGACCTGGTTTTCCACAAAGAGTTTTGCCAACAACACCAAGTCACAATGAGGTATATTTAAATTCAGAGTTTTTAATATACATAATTAATATTTTATATTCCTTTATATTATTCTTAAAAACGAATTATTAATATGATTTATTTTATTTTTTTGTTACAAGAAGGAAGATATCTCTACAGACATTATCGTTGAAAAGGCTGAGGTAGAAACAAATATGAACTATTCTGATGATCAAACAGTGAATGCTTCTCCTCCATCTCCAAAACTTGAAGATGAAGAAGAAGATTCTTTGAAACCATCATCAACTTTACCAACTGATAACATAAGCAATTTAGTATCATCTGGTGGCAGCACATTTGATTACTTGTACGAGTTTTCAGAAACTCGGAAAGTGCTAGAGGAATTTTTCAAGTGTCCACCACCATCGAAAGAAAAAGAAAACAGTACAGAGTCTTTTCCATTTCAGGTATGAATCTATTAACATACAATTCTTTCTTATTGTTATTAAATAAAAAAGAAATGTTTTGAATACTGCAAGATACCTTAATTATGTATAATATGTTAAAAATTTCTTATTTCTTTTTTTGAAATTTGTATAATGTTCGTAATTATGCCTCTTGAAGGATCTTGATTATGAACTACGAAGGCAAGGTGGAAATGCTTACGTTGGTCAACGTTTAGCAAGCGGACCACCAACCACTGAGGAGGTTTTGGTACATGAATCTCCCAAAAAGCAAAGAACCGATTATACACAAAATGTAAGTATATTCATACCTAATAAAACTTAAAAATGATTATATTTCATACATATTAATTGTCGGTTTATAATGAAGTTGCTTTCATTTAAATTAAATTATTTCTGTTTAGACTGGTGAACATGAAAATAATTTCTTGGACCTTTCGGTTGGCACTGGTAGCAGTGAAGATCTTGGAGAAACAGAAGTCGGGTTACAAGTCGGACATTCTCGCAATTTTACATTAAGTCCTGAGATGACTGATTGTGATAGTAACTGTGGCGATCTTGATAGTGAAGTCTCTTTAATGATGATGGATAATGAATTGATACCTGCCAGTGGACTTCTTGGATCGGTCGGTGATTTAGGAAATAATTCAGATTCGTTAAGAATATATACCAGTATGCCGGTTCTTGAGGATGGTTTGTCCAGCGGTCATGCTAGCGATACTGATAATAATAATCCGACAGCGATGCTAATGAAACGACAAATTAATGAAATTGAAAAAGAGATTATACAAAGAAGTCGTGTAAATGACACTGGCTATCCTACTACAACAGAAAGCGACTCAGCCGAAAAAGAGTTCTCTGGTTTAATTATTAGCCAAGACATTTTACACTCTTTAAAATCATCATCACCTGACTTGTTTGTTCCTAAAAAAGAAAATTCGTATGACGTAAATGAATTACAACTTGATGGCCTGGATCCTCTTGGTACACCTCCACCACCAGCGCCTCAAGCAAGGCAAACAGTTAATTTAGAAATAGGTGGTGAAGTTGCGGCTGCTATCAAAGATATTAGAATGGCTTTACAGAGGACTAAAACTTTACCTGTGAAGCCTTCAACAGAAGAACCACTGGAACCAAATGTCAGTCCAATTTGGATACCAAGGTATTTTACTTTCTCTTTCCTTAATCAAAATTTTTATTATTAACCTTTTCCAAATTCATTCATTTTATTTTCACTAACTAGTAAGCGAAATTTTACATGTACTTACGTATATAGTAGATAAAATTGCATAAGCCTAGAAATGGTCCAACTATTTCTATTTTCTATGATGTATAATGGTACTGTTTTAAATTTTGTGGAGTAGATAATTTTTATTTATAAATATTTGTAAATGACTTGTATTTTACGAAAACAAAAAAATTATAAGTGCTACCGAAAATTGAAACTAAAATATTTTATTTATTAAACTATTGGTTAATTAAATATGATCGTACATTTCTCGTATCATTTTATTATTAATTCAATCTAATTATTTAAATAATTGCCATTATTTTCAATAATCTTTTCTTCGTGCGGTATATTACTTGTTCACTTGGTTTTTATAAACAAATTTGTTCTTTGATGACGAAAATTGTGCCAGTATTGATTTTATATTTACGTTTGTAATCATTTTTTTCCTGATAAACGATTTAATATAGCAGAAATAAATGACAATTCATTGCTAAATGATTTGAAAAACGTGAAAAATGTGTCAAAGTTTCTCAACCAAATTTCGAATATAATATGTTTTGAGGTGTAAATATAATATAAAATAATACAATATTTGGACACTAATTAGCTTGGTAACCGTTCAAAGAAAACCAAACGAACTGTTTTGTTACCTAACAGATATATACATGTGTTGATATTCGTAGAACAATTATTATTTTTTAAGTACATCTAATTAAAATTTAGTATATCGGATGGCAGGCGGAGAATTTGTGTAGAAAATAATAGTGAAGATTCGGAATTGCGACGTGCGGGTGAGGAAGCGGACGTTGAAATCGAGGAAGGCCCAGATGAAGAGGAAGCTGATACCGATCTCGAAACCGATCGTTTACTTGGTCAACAAAGAACAGATGATCAGGGTTTCTATGATGACAAGGTAAGATTTGCAGTACAATGATGAGTGGAAAATGTATAAATCTTTAATAATATTTCATTAAAAATAATATTCTTACACGGTTTCTTTAAAGCATGGCTTAACTGGGCAATGAAATAACACAAGTTACTATAAAAGTTATTTCTATATGTATAAAGTGTGATCGTTAATACAAATTTTATAATATTCAACAATAAATTTTAGTAAACACTTTTTACTAAAAAAAATGTTGAGCTGTATATAAATTTTATCATTATTCTTTGAATTCATCACACTATCATCAAGTACTTAACTATATTTTGAAAGAGAACTTTTTTCATTGAAAAATGATTTATGATTCTCACATTATACATTGTTATTAAGTTTAATACATTAGGCTGCGATAAATGGAATATTTTTAACGATTAATCCTTTATTTGGAAACTTAAAAAGGAAGTATAAAATAAAATTGCATCCAGCATTGATCAATAGTATCTTTTGTTACCATTAAAACGTGTTTCTTGAATTACTATTCCTAGTGCATAAAACATATTCATAGTTGCCAAATAGAATGGGTTAATATTTCAGCCCAATGTTTTTTATATATAATTTTTAACATAGAGTATAAAAATAGTTTTTATATAACAATTTACCTCTATCTATGTTACATTGAAATATTTGAAATACCAAAATACATAGCTGTTAGCAAAATTTGAAAATATCAAAATCGAAATTAAAATAAAAAAATTTTCTATTTGCAAAAAATGTGTAAGTTAAAATTTTTCCCTTCTACTTTGCAATGTAAAAGCCTGTGTTATGTTATGTTCTAATAATAATTATTCATGATCAATACCGGATGATTTAAGAAAAGAAATTCACTGTCATTCGACTAAATAAAGGATTTAATACAGTCAAAGAAACCGTAAGGTGTGTACCTACAAAATAAATTCCGTGGATAATGCACGGCTTGAGCAGAGGTATTTTACTGGTAAGCCAACTAACGTAACATAAATATAATTGGTGTTACATAGGGGTGGAGGAAGCCTAAGACTAGGACAATGTTACCACCGATGAGTGGGAAACTGTCGACTCCTAAACAAACTCCCCCGAAAAGCCTGAGTGTCGTCCCGGTAGAAAGCCCGCTAGTACCTGCAGAACCTTTAGCTTCAACCTCTGCCTGTGTATCCACTTCCGCTTCTGCCTCTGTTTCGCCTCCTCCGGTAGTTTCCGTTATTCAGCCGCCACCCTCCGATTGTGATGTTACCACTCCTACGCAACTCACAACGAGTCCACAGAAGACTCCAGCAAAAAATTCTCCCTCGTCCCCTCAGAGTCTCAAGGAATCCAGCAACAAGGTGAAAAAGGTGCCCTTTCAATTAAATTACATCAACCTATCTTGTTTTTCTACTTTCTCTGCTACTATCACTGCCAACAAAGCTACTATTGCTTCTTTCCTTTTATTTCGGTTGCTTTTTGTAGACCTGGCATTATTATAGCATTCCCTCCTTATAATTTTATTGTCCAAAATTCATAGTCTAATTGTAAAGGACAGTGGACATGACTCCGGTCATTTCATTAGTTATTGAATTGCTTCCATCTTATTACCTCTGACGTATTTATTACTGTCTCTTTATATTCTGTGACATAATCAGGATGACAATGTGATTATAAGGAGGTTTATTAAACGCGATTATAGGAAGAAATTAATACAATGTCAAATAATAGAAAATACTGTATAAAGTCATAGCTTTATCGAAAAGTCATGAAAGTAGTTCTGAATTTGGGAACATGATATGATTATTCCACATTAATGATTTTTCTTAAATTATAGGTACCAATTTATGGAATTAAAATGTAGATATTGTTGTAATAGATATACATAATAATGTACTCATAAACATACATAATACGTTCTAAGATGAAGTAGATAAAAATGTTATTGATTTAGCGATGAAAAATTTAGGAAATAATATTTATATTTTGGTTTCTTTCCTGTTAATTTTCGATAGGATAGTTCATTCAGAAAAATGAATTCAATTTTATAACCCTGTAATTTATTAATATAATATAAATGTATTATACTTCATACATTATTTTTAATGATATTGAAATTGGACATAATAATTCTGAATGATATCTTTGACAATTCTGAAACTTCCTTGCAAATTATATTTATTTTATGCATACACTTAGACATATTGTATTTATTCAAAGATCTATAAGTTAATTACAAGTATTTTAATAAATAACACTTACTATAAATGTATCTTTTGCAATTGTTAGCGATGATAAACTCAACTTAGTAAACGATCAATTTACATAATGTTATATAGTATATCACTTCACTACAAGATGAAATTATATGTTTTATTTAGGTAAATAATTTCCTAATAGACAACTAAGCGTGACTTTTTGATTAGATAAAAAAAATATTCAACTGTAATAAAATGACAAATGTTTTTTCTTGATACATTATAATTGTAGACAGGTTATTAAATTTATCTAGTTAACGACTGCAACAGCTTCCTAGTAAATTTAGTGCGATCCTTCAAGTCAGTAATCATTTAATTCGTTTGCTTCCAATAAACACACGTTTCTTACATATTTCCCATCATTTCTTATTCCTTGGAAAATTCAGTTTTTGTAATGTGACATTATAACAGCAAAGGCTATGAAATATAATTACAATTAAGTTAGTACATGTTTGTTTGATAAAATCAATATATTGTTTATACTAGTTTATATTGTAGTTTTACACTATAAATAATAATAAATTATATGCAATAATACAAAATACACTATAAATTGAACAATATTAAAACAGGAGAATGTTGCATAAATTCGATTAGAAATGGCGAACAGAATTTATTTCAAATGTATTGTTCATTAATATTGCTGGATATGTGAAATTCACTGCATGATTGATGCTTTAACAAGTCGTATATGACATGTGATTTGCAAAAAGCACGTAAATATTACTTATAATACTTTTATATATGTAATAAGCATACTCAATATATTCTTGTTTCACAGGATAAAGAAGAGAAAAAGAAAAGTAGGAACAAAGAAGGTAATAAATAATACTTTTTTATTTTTTTAATGAACTACTTAATATATTCGTATCACGTCTTTGCGATAAACTTTTACAAAGTAAAAACGTTTTAAAAAGACGTATTTCTCATTCTAATAACTCACAAATATAGCGATATAAAAATTATTTTATTATAAAATATCATTATTTAAATAATTCATTTTCTTTCTTTTACTTGCTGCTTTCCTGTTGGATATGCTTGGTAGGTACTCTATATAAGTGCATAATAAAAATCGCTAAAAGAAAAACCGTTGTCTAATTGCAATATTTAAATAATCAAATGTATTATTTGATTAATAATTTAATTAGTACGGTTTCTCGACTGCACTAAAACATATATCCGTATCTTTATAAGATCTGCGTGTATCTATGTGTTATAGACAAAGAATGAATAAAATTTGAATAATCTGTAATCAGATATTCATGCCCATTACGATAAAATACGTTCAATATCAAATATTTGATAATAGATAGTGTACTTTTATCTCATTTACCGCTGATTCTGAAATTAGTATTTCTGGAACAATTTTCGATACCATTTGTATGTGATATACACATCTTCATTTAAAATATTAATATTAAAAAGGTGTTTAATTGAATTATTGGTATCTTGTTATTCAAGTGATTTATACTATTTCTCAATTGAAGATTCTGCTATATTAATCACGAAGTTCAATAAATAAAGAAGTTATGAGTTCTCTTAAAAACTTTAGGAAAAAAAGTAAAGAAACTGACAGACTAAGAAACAAAAGAGTACAAGAAATATAAAGGACATGAATAAAATTTGAAAACAGTACTACTATAACAAATATAAACTTAATAAATATAAAATTAAATAAAAAAGAAATCATAAGCATTTACGAATCAAGAAAATCCAAATAATTGAATCTAATAAAAAAGGGCAACTTATCATAAAATAATAAAACGACGTTAAAAGTGCAGCATTCTCGTACAATACATTGAAATCATATTAAAGAGGAATTTAAATTGTACAATTCGTACTCATTATAAAGAATTTTGAGAAGGATACAGATATTATATTACGAAGCATCTCAAGAGAAGATGACATGAAATTTCTTCATAAAGATACGGATATGAAGTTCAGAAACATTGTTGAAAAAGATGGATCACTATCGAACGTTTCTCCTATTTCTGTTCCTGTGTCTTCGATTAGACTTCTTCATTCTTCAGTTGATTATTTGTCAGCATTCGGTTATTTTAACAAGGAGGATGTACTTAACAAGTGTAAATGGTGCATTTCCGTGCCCATTTCAGCTCTTCTCGACGATCCTTCAGTTTTGATCGAGGGTGTCCTGTTTCGAGCGAGATACCTCGGATCCACTCAGCTCGTGTGTGAAGGAGAACCCACGAAATCTACCCGCATGTGCCAGGCAGAGGAAGCTGTCTCCAGGATAAAGGTACGCTTATCATTATCTTACTCGGTGTTTGCATCTTATGCATCTTTACCCCTTCCTCCAGGATTCGCTTCCTCATTATTTATCTCATAATTGTACATTTTTATTTATTCTGATTATTCCACATTAAATTATCAGGATTTTGAATCAGAAATTTGTACTAAGCTTTTTAAGCATTTGTCTGCACAATTATATTGTACAAAATAGGTATATGCAATATAATTTCTTATGAGATATGGTTGCAGCTAAATTTTTTTATAAAACATTTTTCTTTTCATAAATGTCAAAGAAAATATTTTATCTAGTTTTTTAATTAACTAAGGATTTTAGAACTAGGAGAAATTATAAATTATCTGAAGCTTTTACTTATATTTTTTACGCTGTTTTTTATCGTTTTCTTTTTTTTATGAAAAATACCTATAATAATGATTGTATGGAATTATTATATAATCCTGTAATGAAAAATAATGATGTTACATGCTGTACATGTATATTATACACAATATTTAAAGCCATAAGCTGTTAGCTGAACTTTTATCTAATCCATGGTGTAGTGTACAGGAGGGGAGTTTCTATTATCTGAACTATTCGGTAATTAGAATTTCGTCCGTTGATATAACTGAATAAACAAAATTATACAGCATTTGGGTATTTAGTAGTAGTGAACGAACAATAGTAATCTAAACTATACGTAAAAGATTAAACATATCGTATAAAATCTATCTATTGTTTAGTTTAAATTTAAAGTACCTATTTATATGTTAAGTTCGTGTTACAAAAATATATAAAATAATTTTCATTACCATGTATTAAATGTCTCATTTGTTTATATTAGCGTTTCAAAATCATTTTTAAAATTAAAATAACATATTTTCGTCATTGGTGAAATACATTCTATTTTTAATGAATAATCATTTGATAACTTATAAGTATTAACATTAGTTTGTATATTTTTCTTTATGTGTACCTATTCAATTTATTTTAAATATAGCAAAAAATGTATTGATTTAATATCTATAGTGCTTTACAAATGTTCAAGTGGGAAAAATTGTAGAAAATTAGACAAGTACGAATTAAGATATCTTTTATTGTGCGATTTGATGTGGAATTTTCAGTATACTTCAGTTTAATGTAATGTGTTAACTACTAACAATTTATCATGATCACATATTTATTATTATGTACATGTTTAGATATGTTGGAATATCAACAGTGTTAAATTGGACATTTTGTGCACTCATTTGTGCTCTGTGTGTGTGTGCAATAGAAGTTACATATACTACTCATTATCCTCGAAATGCACACATCTGTCTCCTGTTTGTTGTTTCATTTACACCATTGCACCTGCAAAGTAAAAATAGACTACTTACACTTAGATATTTAATTACACCTCGTGCCTTTGTACACTCTGTTTAGTGCTTGACGAATCTTTAGTTTTAATTCAGCAAGTAGACATTTCTCTCTTCTTCAGTATAGTTTTTTAACTTCTTTCTCTTTCTTTTTTAATAAGAACTTTTTTCAAGTGGCTGGTATACTTCGATAATTTTTATCATTCATGACTTGCGATATACCTATTACATTTTATACTTTCAAAAATGTTTCGAATACCTGTCAGTCTTTCAAAAACTTCCATTTATGATACAATTGTAGATATATAATTAATTATAACTGTTATATAATTATGATACAATTATAACTTTCACGTTAACTGTGGATTATGTGTGTACAATATCATTTACAATTTGTTCCTCATTCTGGGCTTCAGTAGACCTCAGTTTTTTATTAATTAAAATATATAACATAACACTTTGTTTACCAAAAACTTATTGATAGACTTCTCAATGTATATACTACGTTGAAAAATAACATAATAATTTTCTTTCAAATAACAGTCTTAAAAAAAGTTATGTTAACATTATGTTACCAAAGATCATTTATTGGTTCACAATTTAAATTGGTATTGTTGTTGAAAAACACATTAAGAAATTCTTAATTACCAATAAAATAGATAGTAATGAAAAATATAAAAATAACAGTGAAAAAGTTTCTCTTCATCGATATATTTTTGAATGTACGTATAGTTGTTCCTTAGCTGGTTGACACCTTGTATTGAAACAGACATAATCTTCTTTTAGAATAATTAATAGGTAAATTAATTAATAAATAAAATAATTAACGTATTAATCTAATAATCTAATAATCGTTGTATAATTAAATTGCATTTAAGATCTATTATACAATGTTAAAGTCATCAGTAACACCTTACGACGATTAATATTTATGACACTTTTTTTAATACTATCTGTTAAAACATGCATTCGTATCTTTATAAGTATTTACACACGCCCATTCTTTAATCACAGTCCTCGAAATCCACTTCAAGTAATCACCCCATATTATTCCACTCTGGTCAGAACACATATCATTCATAATATCAGCGTTCATGGAATTCTTTCACAGACCAACAATCTCTTGAAGCTACCATTCACTCGCTCATACATCACAATATTAAAATAAAAACGTTTTTTCTATCAGAAGCTTTGTTTTTAAGAACATCGAATTAAATTAACCCTAGATAATTAATCTTAAATTAGTGTTACTCTGTAACTAAACATTCGACTCGTAGACTACGAATTAACACTTTGATCTCGGTGCCATTTAAATACCCTGGTACGTTTTTCTTTGTAATAAATTCTTGAAGATCACAGTAGGCTTCGTGATACTGATACCTGTATACCATTGCCGGATTCTTAGCGATTTAAACAGTTAACTATGGAATTTAGTTTGAAAAATCTCTCACTATGCGCGCAATAAAATCAAATAGTAAAGTTACTATTTGTATACTCGTCAAACGCAGGGCAAATGAATCTATAATATATTCTGATGAAAAACTAAAGACGACTGAAGAAGAATTACATGTTTATCTGAGAAAATGAATAATTGATTGTTGAAAGAGTTAGCGTCAGTTTGAATTTTAAAATGACATGTATACTCGCCGAACGCAGTTAACTGGTTAAAGGTATGCTATCGAATTCGAATTCGCAAAAATGGCAGAAGTCAATATGTAGGCTATTAGACGAATATTTAGTTATTTAGGGTTAAACATGTTTTTATATCAATTATATTAAATAGAGTACATCCCACCTATTTCAGTGATCCTGAAATATATTGCCGAGTACGATGTATCGAATAATTTTATACAGGATGTTAAAAGAAATCATTCAATATTTATACGATACACATGGCACATCATTCTGAATTAAAAATCCTAAGAGACATAAATTGCTTCGTAACACTAGAACTATCGAGCATTCATTCAAGTATCTTCTAACTAAAAATGGAATTTATTTTTTTGTATTCAAATATTCTACGATAGCATATCGAAACTTTCACATAGGCGCGATAAGTAAAAGTGTACGTTTAACAGTAGAACCACTGAGTATTTATTAGGGATGATATACAATCCTTCTAAAGATTGTAACAGCATATTTGTTTTCGATTTCTTCTGATAATTGTTACAGTATTTAAGTGAAACTATTTATTTTCAAAATCATTTTGGATATTAAATACTTTGAAAACATTA